GTCCCCACTCAGGGTGTTTTTCTTGGTGATTTAATCAGTCATGGTGTCAGGTAAAGTCACCAAAAAAATCAAGGTGACAAAAGGGAGACTAGGTGCTGTGTTGGGGAGGCTGCTTGTCAGGTCTGTGCACTGCAGCATCATGGGAGGTGCTTGGCAGGCCTGTGCACTGCAGCATCATGGGAGGCTGCTTGTCAGGCCTGTGCAGTGCTGCATCATGGGAGGCTGCTTGTCAGGCCTGTGCAGTGCTGCATCATGGGAGGCGCTTGGCAGGCCTACACATTGTGGTATCATCAGTGTTATCATTTAGAAAGAGGTGGTAGGGGACCAGTCCCACGAGGGGTGGCAGCAGATCAGCTGAGGCCTCAACTGGTCCCCTGGCAGGTGGCCTGAGGCCTCGGTGGGTGACAAAGAGATAGATATGCCAAGCAGAGAGAGTTTGGGTTTAGAGTTTATTGAGTGGGTTGTGGAGGTGGGAAAAGGGAGAGAGGGACAGGGAGAAGGGAGAGAGAAAAGAGAAAGGCAGAAGCTGCCTCTCCAGAAGGAGAGAGAGAGAGAGAGAGAGAGAGAGAGAGAGAGAGAGAGAAGGGGGAGGTTGGGAGTGGGTAGGGCCTGTCTCCTAAAGAAACAGGAAACCCAGGTGACAGAACAGGCCAGCAGATTACAACATTCCCATCTTTTTTCTTATAATAAAAAGATGTGGAGTTAGGCATAGCAGGTTCAAGGAATTGGGACAGCAGATTCTCAAGACTGCTTCTTCCTTATTTTTGGGTGTTGAAGTCTTTCCTAGGGGGACTGAGATAGGTGGGTGCTGGTCACATCCTGGGGTAGCTGATTGCTTTACTCCTATCCAGGATTTGAGGTGTGGAACTGTCCGTTGTCTCTTGGACGTGGCAAGGTGTTGGCAGAGCAGAGGAAAAGTTAAATTTAGGAAGAAAAAAAACTTCTGGACCAGGGAATTGAGAGGGAGTGTATCTGATCTGATTAAGGTGGACCCTTTAATTTGGCTCCCCGGAACTCACAAGAATTTCTTGAGTTTGTGAAAACATAAGTTTTAGATGCATACATTGTATAATCAGCATGTTTATGTCAGCATGTTTATGTCAGCATGACCGTCACAGATGTTTTTGTACAATAAAAAGTATCTTTAAGACTGAAAGGCAGCATGAGAGAGAGAGATTTGATAACTTATATTTGCCCTCACACCTTTATAACTTGCAGATACACACCTCAATAACTTGCATTTGTATATCTTAAGACTATGAAAGTTGTTTGGTGAGACTGTCCTTTTAAACTGACAAAACCTCTCAGCTTTCAGTAGAGAAAGACCCTACTTTCATGATAAAAAAAGCCAGCTTCCTCTCACTCACTTTTCATTTAGCTTTATGTGGAACTTAAATTCAACTGTGTGTAAATGTCTGTACACTTAATGGTAAATGTTTTAAGTTTATTAAATCTTATTCCAGACTAAGAAAGCAATAAGTTTCATGTTTTAAATTTGTATGTACTTTTAAGACTCTTACAAAAATACTGTGTATGTATTTAAATATATGGATTTAAAATATATTGAGCTGTTCTCCACTATTGCCATTTCTGCCCTTAAGCTTCTAGTGTAAACAGCGTTTTCTTCTTTGTCTTTCACAAGAATGAATCTTACCTGTTAAAAACCAGTACGATCAACCCTGGACCCAGCTCTCCAGGCAGATTCTATACTGTAGTTATAACTTATCTATACCCGATAAACAGCCCTCAACTGCTCAGAGATCTGGGGAATATGGCATTTAAATGTTTAATTATTAAAAGACTTTTCATAACAGAGAGGCAGGTTGGCTCCTAGCAGCAGTGCTGTATTTCCTCCAAAGAAGACAGATGGGCACTGAACAACGTCCACCCGCAATTCGCTTCATCAAGTGAGAGCGCTAACCACTGGGAAAAACTGCCTTTCATCTAAACTCCTAAAGATTTCCAGACATGGAGAGAATCACTGGAATCGACAGCTTAGCTGTTCAGGTCAAGGTAGGTTTGCCTTCATACAGATCTTCTAACTCACAGGATCTTATGGAGCTGGCAGGTCCTGCGTTCTCCCAATCTCCCCCTTCCTTCTTTCTTCTCTCTCTCTCTCTCTCTCTCTCTCTCTCTCTCTCTCTCTCTCTCT